ATAATTTCTTTAAAATGAATGTGCTACAAGCTCTTTGTTAGTTGTAAAATATTTTCCCTTCCTTACAATAACAGCATAACCGATAAACCTATACAATAATATTCCCGATACAGCTGTATTCTTTACCATCATTGATAATTTAGACACATGTGTACTGCCTATATCATGCTATCCTTTATATATTAATGGTACACTATGTGTATCTCTCTAATTGATACATGTGTTTTATTCATACACTATGATTGTAGGCATGGGCGACGGATAAAGATAACGATACGGCATGCATGTCCATACACTTTAAATCATAGTACTCCTTGTACAGTAGTATTCACTTTACAATGTTATTCTTAATATATTGATACTCCGCAAACATCCCCACTATTCACATAATAGTACTCTGGGAATGTTACCAGTGGGAGCGAATAAGTAATTCTTAGAGAATACTCCTTCACGCGCCTGTGTACACTTTCTCGGGCGGTACTCCCCCAATCATTCAGTTTCACACATTATACGGCTGTTAATATAATAAAACTCCAGGGAGTGCTATTAATCCAGGAATATGCTGCTTTCCCTATAATAGAAGCCTAAAGAGTAGGCCATGATATTCCACCTGTTTTAATAATTATGCAAGGGGGGTATCGAGAAACCAACCACAATTGTTCACTTCAAGACATCACACTAGGGAGATATGAGTGCACTCACAAGACTGCGCAGCAGATCATCCGCACATTTTATACAATTATTCCCCTAAATGGAAAGTACTTTGCAGATATCACTATATCTCATCCATTAATACCTTCATATAACAGTACTACGAGAATCTCCGCATTCGTCATCATGGGAAATGGGGAAACATGTATACTTCCTTCTCATCTGCCCTTGTAGAATATGCATGCACTTCATAGAATATTACCCTACGAATAATGACAAATCTCGAGAATCAGTATTCTTGACACAATAATACTGTTAACGTAACAGTGGTTTTGGCATAGCTGCATTGTGTAGATAATATGATTTGAGGCCACCTGTTGGATCTGCAGAATCGTCCCCTTCAGATCATCCAGCCATTAAACCAACATGACGACCCTTCAAGTAATGCTATTCAAAGGACAGTTGTCCTCATGAGGACAAACTCTTCTGTATATAACATCAGTGTTCTTCAAGTAATCGTGCAATTCACACATCCTTGTGTCCCAAACAACTGTACCCCCCATACGGAGGTACTATGGCAACTTCCACACGTTGCGTAACGGTGGCACCTTCTCATACGGCAAAAAGCTAAGTCATGAATTTTACACCCCCCCTTACTTTACTTAATAATATCGGCTTAACTTTGGGCCTCATAAAATGGCATGGTACCAACCATATCAGGCATCTTTAGATATGAGTACTATTCATACATCTATAGTGTCCCCATAACAGTACTCCAAGTCATGAATACTCCTTCAGCAAATATCCTGTTCAAATGGAAGTATTATCAGCAGAACACTACTGTAAACAGGACGGTACTTCTTGTATTATCGTACTCTATCAAAGAATCGTACTCTAAGGGTAATCTTACTCATAAAGGCAGGAAACTCCACACATCATGGTTCCGTTAGTATAGTGACACTCCAGGTGATCCATATAGCTCCACTACTAATACTTTCATAGAACAGTACTATGGGGACTTCTGGACTCCTCACCATTGAGTATCTACAGGCATCAGTAGCTTCTAGACAATAGTTATACTAGAATATGTATGGACTTCAGAGGAAATTGCTATTCATATAATGAAAGCATAATCTCGGAATCTTTCACATACACTAGTACATGGACGACAGTACTCCTCACATAATAGTATTACACGTATAACCCCGCGCAGCTCTAGCAGTGGAAATCCACATCAGTATTGTAGAAATAATGATACCCCAAGTGAAGCTGCTGTTTTCAAATACCAATAGAATAACGGTGTTACAATTCTCCACACGTAAATATTACGACCTCTTGGGTAGGTTTCATTACAGTGACACTGGATGATATCCGTACCCCTTATGTAGAAGTGCTCCTTATATATGTCTCCTCCAAGCGGTTTCCAAGGTTCGAACGATTTAGTTGTTCGTACAATACCTGTATAATCCCTGAACGCTCTATAATAATACTGCGGGTACAGCTCTACACTTCACAACCATGGACACATGTGATAGGTCCTAGCATGTTACACACTTGTGTTCCTTGTATAATACTACAACACGTATATCCATGAACTCCATCTAATGGTATGATCCATATAATAGTATTTTTCAAACACACAAAATTGTAGATATTATGGTACCTGCAGTATGTTAGTACTATTTAAATCATACTACTCCGGGAATGGTAGTACTCATCCCGACAATGCTATTCCTGCTATATCAATGCTTCGCACGCAGATGCATGATTCATATGATAGTACTCTAAGAATATCAGCACTTGAAGTTAAAAAGTTATTCTGACAGAGGTGTAATATAATGACATCGGTACACTTGTTATAGCGATGCTCTTAAAGTCATGGAGTTTCACGCATTGCACCACTCTTAATATAATAATACTTCAGGAACTGCTGACAGTCCGTAACAGTAGTGTTCCTCATATAATACAAACCGAAATCCAGGGCCGTGAAATTCGGACCCCTCAAATCTTCGTATTCCAGGGACATATATTTCGCGCATAACCCTGCTCCCTAAATGATAGTACTACGCAAATATGAGTATACTCGCAAGATATGGTTTCCGATTATGCATACTACCTACAGAGGTATTCTATTAAGGAAACAATGCACAACAAATATTACCACAGCTCAACCATTAGTAGATTCATATAACAGCACTACGACAACTTCCGTAATCATCACCATTCAGAATCCATACACATCCGTACTGTACACGCGTGAATCCTGCTTCAATATCCATACACTCGACGGAATAGTGCTTTCCAAATAATGATCCTCCTAGAATATGGATATTCCACACACAGAAGTACGGTTTGCGGCATAGTACTTCCGGCACCATAATACAATCAAAAAAATGGTGTCGGTAACATTTCTTAGGGGTTGTACAATTCGCTACTTTATACTATGCGGCCTTTAAAGTTAAATCCGGACGCTTTACATAATGGCACCTCAAAGGCAGCCATGCTCATCTAGGCACAGCATTTGGTACATAATTGTAATGCTGTTCAGAGGTCGAAACACTGAACAGGTCCATGTTTTTCACACTATAGCATCCCTCATATAAGACTATTACGGGAATTGGTATACCCTCCATCGTGTAACTCTCAGCAAGTGGTAGAAGGCTATGTTATATATGCTATTCCCCTGAATATTTTAATTAACCATACTGTTGTTATTCCGTCATTCTGTGAATAGTAACATACGACGCATTTGGACACTCCGAAGATATGAGTACGGCATATATTGATGTACTTTTCACATAATGATACCTCCACTCATGGATACTCCGCATTGGGCTGTGCACTTCAAATGAAGCTATTATCCAAACAATCGTACTGTTAACATGACCGTATCGATTGTATACGCGTACCTTTCAAAGAATAGTACCACAAATAGTCCTAATAAGGAGGGCACATAACTGCAGATAGAATGGTATCCATAGCACAATAACCCCCCTGGAAGATCACTCCTCAGGACAAGAGACTCCTCTTAACATCATCATACTCCCGGAGTAGCAATAATCTTTAAGTAATAGTATTACAGATGGGCCCTGGGAGCTCCGCAATCCCGCACGTAATGTAATGAAGTCATTAAACTTACATCAAAACCCTTGACATCCTGATAATCCAAGGATAGGCCTACTTTACGGGATACAGAGCCTCCCACATAACAGTAGTCTTGTTCAATTAACAGTGGACTCCCCAAATTAACACACTGGGAGAAGAAGTATCTTTCACATAAATATATTACGCCAGATTGTGCACTTTCCATACAATAAATCTCCGCGAATGGTAACAGATTACGCCACATATATACTATCACCTGAATACATCAGTTAATACGACTGTTTCGATTTGGCCATGATCCAGATAGCGGTGTACTAGGGATGTTAGTTATCTCCACATAGAAGTACCATATATACATCTGTACCTTTCCCATATTGCCACTGCACATGATGAATATTCAATAAGAGACGGTGTTATTTAAATAGAAGTATTATCCACACAATAATACTCTTAAAATAACGCTTCTCCTGGCACACACCTACCCTTCCATAAGATCGTATTCTCAATACAATGATATCCATTATGGCCCAACCCATAACGCCTAATGGTGCAGCATAATATCATAACCCTAAAGGTCATGCAAATAGTCGAGCTACTATCACCTTCATATAAAAGTACCATGGAAATCTTCGGATTGTGGACCATTGAGAATCCAGACACCTTAGTACGGTTTAAGCGAGGGTTTTAGAACATCCATAAACTTCAAATAACAGTACTACACAGGCATCCAGGCCCGGTAAGCGGCTTAGAAACACAAACCAGTATTTTTCAAAGAGAAGTACCCTAGGCCGGCTTCAGTTTCTGATGTAACGAAATGATAGGCATGTCAGTATTTTGAGCACATGACTATTAGGCACACGTCAGTAGGCTCCCTACAATAAAACTCCAGAAGATCCTTACCCTTGACGCGACTCTGCACTTCAATTCAAAGTGTTATCCGTGTGATAATGCTATTCACTTAATAGTACTCCATGAACATCATGATTTCTAAAGCAATAATACACCACGGATGAAGCTGCCCTTTCACACATGGGTATATTATTCCTGTTTCGTAATGCTACAGCAACGGTATGGTCCTGATATTTACGCTTCACATACGTGACCATCCTCCTAAATGGCCGAAGAAGGAAAATATCTTCATAATGATTCCACATAGAAAGAAAAGGAAATAGGTAGATCAGAATATTACGGAAGAAGAAATTCTAATAAAGAAGCATGACATACAGTACAACATATCAACGAGGATGCACCCAGAATGGCTTCTTCAGAATGATGTGACCTCAAGAAAAATTTTCCCAATAATCGAGGCAGAAGAATATCTTCAAAAGGAAGAAACAAAAAAACGTCGGGCAGCTAGAAGGAGAAGAAAGGATCTTCATAAAAAAAATAAAGAACGAAGCAGCATCTTTACCATGTCGCCGAAAACGGGAATCTTCATAGAGAAAATCCCAACCAAAAAAATATCTTCAAGATGCGCCGAAAGAGGGTACATCATGATAAAGGAAATGACAGACAGAAAAACATCTTCACGGAGCCCAGGCAAGAAGAAGCATCGATATAAAAGAGATTACACAGAACAATATATTCAAAATACCGCAACAGAGAAGTATCATCCGAATGCGGCGGAAAGAATGTCTGTTCATAAAAAAAATGACTCGCAGAAAAATTCCTTTGCGGTAACATCCTAAATAAAAAAAGCATCTTTATAAAAGAATCAAAGAGAAAAATATCATCGATATAACGCAGTAAGAGGAATCTCCGTAAGAAAAATGAAACAGGACCAAAAATTCTCATAATGACGTGGCTGGGGAAAACTCATCAGGGCATCCGAAGAGAAAACTATCCTCAGGAAAAAAATGAGACGCAAACAGGAATCTCCATAGTGACACGGCAAAAGAAAGCATTTCTTTAAGAATGACGAGCGAAAGAATATATTAAAAGTACACGTGGTGAAATGGATCTTGCGAAAGAAGATGCCGCACAGGGAAAATACACTTCACAATGACGTACCATAAAGAAAGAAAACTGCCTAAAAATGGAACAGGAAATATCATCCTGGAAAAGGGGCCACATATAGAAAAATCTTCATATTAAAACAACAGGAGGCATTTAGTTATGCGATGATGTAGTACAAGGAAGCATTGTTATAATAACCTTCCAGATATAAGGATCCTTAAGAAAATGCCCTCCAAAGAGAAAGAATCACAATGCCGCGGCAGAGCAGTACACATCACAGTGACGTCACACGAGCATAACGCAATGACCTCAAGGGGGAGCATCATAAAAATCCAGGAAAAAAAGCATAATCATGAGTATACTACAGAGAAAAAATCCTGATAAAGATGCAGCAGGTACAGGCATCTTCATAAAGATGCCAGGGGAAATGGTATCTTCATAAGGATGTTGCGAGAAATGTCATCATAAAGAGACCCTTCAGGAGAATTCCGTCAAAAGAAGGGGGCAGATAGGTGTATCCTTATGGAAAAATTAAATAATGAAATATATATAATGAAGCTAAAAGAAAGAGCCCGCGTGCAACGGATATATAATACATGAAAGCACCCCCCCGAAAATTGATCCACGTGAGAGGACTTTGGCAAAGTGAAGCCACATGAAGGCAAGTCTCGAAAAGAATTACGCCACATGGAAGGGCCTTCGCGATATTTTCCGACGTGAAACGACGTTCGCCAAATTACCCCACGTGAAACGACGTCCGCGAAATTACGCCACATGGAACGACGTCCGCAAAATTACGCCACATGGAACGACCTTGGCAAAATTTGGCCACATGGAAGGGCGTTCACAAGATTTGGTCACATGAAGATGCATATCTAGGGAAGGGGCGCCATGAAAAAATACTCTCATAAAAGTGCAGAAACATGATAAAACAGACTCATGGGGATGATACAACACGAAAGCACATCAACAGACACTATGCAGCATGCGGATTTATATGCAAAGAAGTTGCGATATGAATTGACACCCTTATAAAGATGCCAGAACATGAGAAACATACACAGGAAGAATGCGTCGTGAGGGGGAATGCTCGTGAAGATATCCAAAAATCGAAAAACACACTCCCAAAAAGGATGAGCATGAGAACGCATTCACAGAAATAACGTAACTATGAGACAAGCCATTTAAACCCAACGGCCCACCATTTCACGCTATTCCCCATTGGATCTGCATATCTTTACTCTATTGCAGTCATACGAGTTTCGACAGAAGGGCATGAATACATTTAAGCGCTATAGCAGCCCTTTCAATTGTCTGCAGCATACAATTAAAGCTCATTATGAAATTAGGATTCATACTATACCACTTCAGATTCAAAAATATATTGCTGTCTTCATTTATTCATAGATAAAACACGTCAGGAACAATCATTTCATTTTAGCGGGAACATTTTTATCCCAAATGAATAATCTTCTAATCCCAATCTGCATATACTGGTAACTATATCTTCTTTTCGCGTAGAATTGTGTAGCACTGGTACTATTCTGTCCCTGTCCGGTTCCATCTGTTCGTATTCCCCTCCTGTATGACGCCATATGGGCATCAGATTCCACCTGGTTAACACCCCTTATCTCTATGACTCAGGAACTATTCCCACATATAAGAAGGAAAAAATATACATATATGTATGTATATCCATGGATATATCTATGTTCCATGGTAAGGTGTAAAAAACTCAACAATACAGGCTGTTATCAATAAATGGTAGCAATGTATAGAGGGATTTAAATTACCCCTATTTCGTTGACCAACATCCCGTTTATGCCTCTCAGAATTTCTGCATCCCCAGTTTATACCCCTAATGTAAATTGGCTTAACACTCCTATATGAGGGATTCCGTAGTTTTCTTCTTATTTTATCATAATTCATGATATGCAAAATGGAAAAGTGAGTTATACTCACACATATCTGTTATTCTTAATTTCTCTTCAGGATTCAATACTGGAATTCTTTCTTAATTTCTATGAGGTATTTGCTGTAATATATTATAAGCACCTCCACAATTCCTTCACTGCTTTTGTCCTCTCTTGTATTATATGTATCTGCGGGTAATCACAATCAATCGGTGCGTCATTATTCTCGTTATTACCTATCCATTTCAGTTTCCTTCTGATTCACATACATTGATTGCGCCGTAGGCCCGGTTTTTCTACATGGAAACGTAATATTGGTACTTTTCTGTCTCCTCCTCTGCTAAATTTTGCTCATAATACGTAATCCTCTCGACGAAATTAATCAAACCGCGTTAGCATATTTCCAGTATTGAACGGCTCCTTTAACCGGTCAAGAGGAATCCCTAAATAGAATTATTGCAATATCCTGTCTTCTCATCATTCTATTGTACGCTGAAGAATGCTTAACGCTCATTATTCACACCTATACTTAATTCGATTCCGTTAATCCTTTTATTCAGAGTTAACGTGCTTCTTAATTAATATTAAATTGAGGTAGCAACAGACTCAATGATTGCATTAAGATTGGAATAAGATCCACAGCTCATTTTAAAACTCAATACTCAGGGGGGTATGGTCCTCTCAGAAGATATCAGATTAACACGAGTGACTCCCCCATCATAATAAGAGATAACTACTCATTTCCTGAGTAAATTATTAATTGAATAATTAGAAGAAATATCTTCCACAGTTTGTTTCTGACCTGAGGGAATCTTGTATTCTGGATAAACATTGCTTCTTACCTGGGTTTCCACTTCGCCATCATAGTCTCACATTGCAATGAATAAACATTATTGAAGGATGCGTCTAATATTGCAAAATGTATCAAAAAGAGGATAAAAAAGAAGGAACCGTAATAATTCCTCCAATCTTCCACTCGTCGAAACCACCTATTGAGATATATACGCTAGATATTTATACCTAACTCTTACATATTTCAGTTGCCCTACTGAAAAGAAAGCACGCTAAGTACATTTTTCAAATGATTCATTCTAATTGTCACATATTCCTATCAGGAGCTTTTGGCAAATATTTATTCATTTTGTAAGATTGCCAGACGAATCACCACTTATCGTAATGAACTTTGCTTTGTACATTGTCCACTTTACCAATTTGTACTTTGTACGTGGATCTTGACAATGAGCAAAGGACCCTCTCCCCCAAAGGAAAGAAGCAGTACAAATTACATTTCACAAAATATAAAGGTACCAGACAATTCATATTACATGAGGCTAGCGAAAGGGATTCCTTATGGTACACCTAATTCTTATTTTAACAGTCTGGAAAGATCATGCGCCACAATCGCGTATCATACAACAGCGAAATCTAGCTGATATTCGATGCAGATGCCAGAACTCTCCACTCTCCGTATATTGGACAATACGACTAGGAAACTAGCGATAAGGAGTATTATTAATAACTTCCCCTGTGTAGTATACCTCGTATGTCCATTCTGCAACATAACCAATATCGAAGCATATGAATAATACATTCACTCATAAAATTAGTTATGCATTTTTAACTTTATCCATATATATTCGCAAATGTATGCAACTCTAACCTGAATATAAATAACATGTCTTTTAAAGCTATCAGGACATTAGTCAAAAGGCTCAATCGCTGGAAATACTATACACACAAATATGTCATTCTAGACCGGAAGGTAATGAATGAGCTGGGCACATATTATACGACATCTACAAAACGAATTAACGAATGAACTGGAGAGGCACCTCGGAGACTCATGGATTTCCGAGCGATCAGTGACCATCTCGATGCTTACTTGCCTTTATTCAAATATTACCATGAATTCGATACATCAAATGAAGAGTATTCCATTTTCTCGTAAAAATACTTTAAAATATCGGTTCACTGCACACAGAAAAGGAGCAATAGTACCTATTGTCCATTCTGCCGCTCATACAACAACAGATTGGAATGAAATCCTGATT